CATTGATTAGGTAGAAACTTAGTGTTCTAGTAGGGTTTTAGGTCATTTTGAGAGNCGAGTTCTTGTCGTGTAAGGTGTTGTTGAGAAGTTCCTGTGAGTGGGTTGTGATTGAGGTAAGGGGAGCTAAAATACTTCTTCATAATTAGTTGTATGTATGTGTATATACTGAGTTTTGTACTGCTATGGTGTTGGTATTGTGTTTTGGTTTGGGAAGATTTAGTTGCATGTGTTGGACTGTATGACTGTGGAATTGGAGTGTGATGGTTGTAATTGTTTTGGATATATCTAGTTGTTGTAATTAATCATGTTGAAGTGCTTGGGGTGAGGAATCTGTTGTAACATTGATTAGGTAGAAACTTAGTGTTCTAGTAGGGTTTTAGGTCATTTTGAGAGGAAGTGAGGTAGTGATTTTGGGCATTTGAGGTCTAGAGTGTTTTTGGGCTGTTGGGGCATACTTAACCAGTGTATTGTGACTTGTTTGAGTCACTAAAGTGGTCCAAATAGGTGCAAAGTATCAAAATTGGGTTGGGGTTCCTCAAGTTGTGGAAATTTTTGTTGATGTTTAAATTTTGGGTTGGAATCACTTTATATTTGTAGTAGGAAGGTTTAGGAATATCTAGACAAGTTTAATTAAGTATAAAACACGAATTAGAGGTGTTAGAAGTTGGGGAAAATGACTAGAAATGGTAAAGAGTGTGTGAGTTGCATAATTCTGCAGAATTTGCGTTCTACAGATTATGCAGACTCATTGAGCAAATTGTTTCGCACAACGAATCACCCTGGTGAGATGCTCTCTGTCAGGGAATTCGCACAATGACTTGGTACGCTGTGCGAATGGCCAGAGAGGGTTTCTCTCTGTTTAGTGATTCGCATAGCGAATCTGGGCATTGTGCGACTAGTGGTTGCTTGGGAAAATGCTAGTTTAATTTGAATAGCGAATTTGGGGCGCTGTGCGAGGGTTTAGGGTCTGATAATGTGTAGTAGAATTTTCAGTTTAGCATAGCGCACAAACTTGGTGTGTTGAGCAAATGGACTTTAGCTGAGCGCACAACCTTGGTGCGCTGAGCGAATGTGAGTGAGTAAAACCCACTGTTTTTGTTATTCGCACAACGATTTTGGTGCGCTGAGCGACTTGCCCAGAACCTGTTTTTATTATTTTTTTTCCTGTTTTGCTGATAACCTTGAACTATGTTTTGATTATCAGAATGGTGTAGAAGTATCTATGATAGTGTATGATCAGTGAGGTTATATGTTTGGATTTAATGTGATAGTATTATGGTACTTGGTTGTTCATGTCTTGAGTTAAGTTTCAAAGTGACAGTATGGTTGATGGACGTAATTCCATGGATCTCAAAGGTAGGTTACATGGTGGTGCTCTATGTTATTGGACGTAATTCCATGATCTTCAAGGAGAAGATCCGTGGTGGTGCCCTTGGTGTGTTTTAGAATTATTTGCATGGAAGCTTATCCTTGGGGGTTATCCTGAAACTACAATGGTCAATCATTCTATTGAACCATGTCGTGAGTAGTAGAAGGATGTCCTAGTCTTGGGTGCTTCCAGTATTGCTTAAGGTGAGTGATAACGGACTAACCTCGTGAGTGTGGTAGGGTGAAACCCATTGGCAATGGCTTTGCAAAGCAATAAAGGCCACCACGAGTGCATAACCTGCCATAGCTCGACAATCATTCTAAGTCTGGACGAGTCAAGTGTAAAGTGTAACAAGTGGTGTTGTATGATTCATTAACTTTGAATTAAACTTGCATGTTGTATGTGATTGTTATAACATGATTTTTGTATATCTAGCTCACCCTTGCTTCTGTGTTTGTGTTTTGCTTGTGTGTGCTTTTCTTTTGCAATGATCATCTACTTTGATGTGAGCAGAGGTGGATGAGGTGTCTCTAAGGCAGGCTTTGGAGGGAGACGATGTTGCAGCTTAGTCTAGTTAGAACTCTTAATTGTTCCTTATCATTTTGAAATACTCTACTGTGTTTATGTTTTAAATTATGACTTCTTTTGAAATGACTGTAACCTTAATACTTTATTTACAGTATTATTCTAACTATTCTCTTATATTAAAAATGTGGACTGCTATATTATATATTTATATATAATTTGGGACATTACACTAATAAATAAAAATAATTATATATATATATATATATATATATATATAATTTATTGTTAACTATACTGAAATAAAAATATTATCTTAAAATTAAAACTTTATACATATTAAAATAAAAATTATTAGATATATATTTATATAACATCATATTAAAAAATTGATATTTTACTTATTAAGAAATACCATTATTGGTTTTGGTATCAATTTTATGGTCGAATAAAATAAGATTTCATTTATGAAACACATAATTAATTCTACAAATATGAAGAGTTAATTATACATAAAAAAGTACAAATAAAAATCTTCCACTCCCATATATATATATATATATATATATATATATATATATATATATAAAATATTGTAGTATATAATTTAATTTATCTAAAAGAAATTGAATTTATCATGTATGTCTTCAAATACTTTCTCTCTTTAATAATTAAATAAAATAATATCCCTTAATTATTTTAAAAAGACCTTCCTTAAATATAATTAGTAATGTAAATGTATCATAATTATCTATTTCACAAAACTATCGTTATATTATATTATCAAAATACTAAGTATATCATGGTGAATTATCTAAAAAATATATGTACAAACCAAATAAAAGTTTGAATTGTAATATTTTATCCATATGTAATTAAGAAAATAAAATTTATCTTTTGTATATAGAGATCCAGTGCACTTTTAGTTATTGTCAGAATCCATTAAAAACCCCAAGTGGTGGAAGCTATGTGTCAATAAAAGGGTTCAGATTTTCAGAAAGTGGAAGATAGGTGGCTGCAAGAGAGTAGACCGATCGGTTTTAGCAGGAGGTATATAAGTTGAAATTTTGAAATTTGATCCCACTTTCTGCATGCACCCTTCTTTTCCAAACTGTTGAAACCCATTTTCTGCTCCTTCTCTCTAGATTTCCTCCACCTTCTCTCTAAGAATTCTCATCTTTTTCTTCTTCCGATCACCAATCAGGCACCGTTTGAACTCTCCCAGCGTCAAGGGCTTTCATTTAAACCGATCAAGTTGTGGTTTAAACATGTTAGTACTGCTCTTCTTAGATCTTTTGTTTTTCTGTCACATGCAAACCCAGATTCTGGTTGCATGAGTTTATCATCTCATTCTGAGTATTTTCGGTCTTTTGTTGGTTAGTTTCATAAAGCCTGACTGTAGAATTCTAAGATTTCTGGTAGTGGTGAGCCATATACTGCATCGTTGAGCGTTCGCCACGTTTAGAGGTAAGGGAAGCTTGTAATTTAATTATAATTCTTGTTTGATTATGATTTATTGGATGGAATGATGTTATGTTTGATGGGTTGGTTGATGTTGTAATATTGCATGTTTGTTTGGGTGTATTGTTGATTTATGAAAAGGTGTAATTGGGTAAGAATATAGTTGATCGTGATTCTACATTAATCTGCACAATTCTGTAAACTTTAACCGAGAAGTCATTATTGACTATTTGATTTATCCTTGGGTATTTACACTAAGTGTTCAATTGTATTAGTCTAGAAAGTATTCAAAACGTTCGGTCTTGTCTCTGGGGTGGATGTTATTGTTCAGTTTGGTTCGATTTGATTTTATTATGGTGTATGGAAATGAAAGAGGATTCTAGGGAGGAATATCTCATGAGTGGTTATTGAATGGTAGAGTATGAATGTGGACAAAGCTAAGCTGGCGTTTATCCTTATAATCCGTGATTGCTCATTCTCACATAGAGAAGAGTAACTCATGTGTGGGAATGGCAGGAGGTCCTAGACCATAAGGTGAACTTGGGCGAAACGGACTAACCTTGGGTGTTAGCTGTTGAGAGTATCCCAACTACATCACCCGGGTGAAAAAACGTCGTAGCTACACAAAATTCATACAGTCCGGACAGTCAGAGTCAAGTGATAGGTCATTGCATGCTTTGACCTATAATTTTGGTTGGAATTGTATGATTGGATGGTTGTAGGATTGCCTTATTGATGTATATCAGATTTTTGTGAAATATATGTTTTACTGAATTAATTAAATTACATAAGCTTACCCTATTTCCTGTCTTGTCTGTATTGTCCGTTTGGTCGGATTTGTCCTGTTGCAATGATCATCCTAAGGATGTGAGCAGAAGGGGAAGAGTTGCTGGAAGAGGCTTTGGAAGCTGTGGAAGTGAAAGCTGAGCCATAGGACCGTTTGGTCATTAGGATGGGTTCTATTTTGTATAACCGTTCGGTGTAAGTTTAGTTTGAAACCGTTCGGTCTAGCTTGTAGTTTTGTAAAGTTTGAATTCTGTAGCATTTACGTAAAGTCGTTCGGCCATTAACGTACCTCTTTTTGTTTTTTTTTCTTCTCAGAACTGAACTGTAATATTGTTAATATATAAATATTCTATGGTATAATTTATACTGTATTTTTGGGATGTTACATTTAATGGTATCAGAGCAGTTTTATTCCTTAAGAATACTGTAGGTTGAGTATACTATGCTTTTGTTGTGTACTCAATGTTCGGTTATTGAGTGTTTCTGACTCTTTGAATTCAACTGATGGTTATTTTTCTCTGTTAATCAGAGAAGATGGCTCTTAGACCTCCTCCTCAACCTACCGATCAGGATATACCTGACTACACCCGGTTGATGGAATCAATGATAGAAGCTCTATAATAACAGAACGCTGCCCTAGTACAACAGAATACAACAACGTTACAAAGTTTGGAGGCTGCCAGAGCAAACTCAAAGGCAACTCATGGAGATCATATCAACCACTAGGAATATAGTCGTACCTTCCTCTTCCTCTACTACTCATCAAACCGAATGGACTTTAGAGAGTTTTCTCCAACATCACCTGACCAAATTTAATGGAAAGTGTCTTTCGGATGAGGCCAATTAGTGGTTACGTGATATGGAGAGGATCTACGATGCCAAGAGGTGTCCGGATGACAATAGGCTGGCATTTACTGAGTATATGTTGACTGAGGAGGCCAGTCACTGGTGGAATATCATGAGGTTGATATTAGAAGGAAGTCATATTCCTATCTCTTGGGAGGTTTTCAAGGGTAAGTTTTATGAAGAGTATTTCCCTAATAGCGTGCGGTTCGCTAAAGAGGTGGAATTTGTTCAACTGGTTCAAGGAGGAATGTCTGTATCCGAGTATACAAATAAGTTCAAACACTTAGTGAGGTTTAATACTATGGCTACTAGTGAAGAGTGGCAATGTCCAAAGTTCGAAAATGGGTTGAGAAGTGACCTTAAATTGTTGATCTCAAGTCTATGTATCAAGTCTTTTCCTACAATGGTGGAGAGGGCCAAGGTATTAGAGAAGATATACTTGAGGTAGAACAACAGAAGAAGCAACAACAATAGATTGTTCGAGGATCGATCTCTTCCAGAAACAGTATGGGTCCGAAGAGAACTCCTTATACTCGGCCTTCACCCTATACAAACTTTGGTGGTTCATCTTCTGAACTATCAGGACTGATCGGTCAGTCTGGACAACAAGGAATTGTGGCATGATTTAATTGTGGAGGGCCTCACTACAAGTCTGCATGTCCTCAGCTGGTGGTAGGAAAGTTCTGCGTTCGATGTAGAAAGAACAGTCATGTGGAGAGCAAGTGTAAAATGGGAAGGAAAGCAGTTTTAAGGCCTCCAAATGCTGGAAGGAACCAGTCGAGAGGTAGTGGCCGAGCACAAGCAGTGGGGCGGGTTTATGCATTGACGGGGGCTGAAGCAGCAAGTTCAGGTAATCTCATTATCAGTACTTGCTTGCTGTTTGGTGTATCTTGTTGTGTGTTGTTTGATTCGGGGGCAACACATTCCTTCATCTCAAAGGCATGTGTTTAGAAATTGGGATTGACTGAGAGTGAGATGCAATTTGATTTGGTGGTGTCAACCCCAATGGCTGGTGAGGTTAGGACGTCTACGGTGTGCATTAGATGTCCTATTGAGGTTGAGGGGCGTCAGTTTAAAGTTAATCTTATTTGCTTTCCTCTTTAAGGTTTAGAGGTGATTCTAGGAATGGATTGGTTGACTGCCAATCACATTCTTATTGATTGTGGAGAGAAGAAGTTAATTTTTCCTAGTGAAGAGGAGAAGTTGTTGTTGTGTATCGGTCAACTGAGGGTAGACTTAATGGAGGGCGCTAGTTGCTTCTTGATACTGTCTCATTTGGAAGTGATTGAAGGATAGCAACTTTCAAACCGTTCGGTACATGAAGGACAGAGTGAAAACTGTTCGGTTGTAATGGAATTCCTGGATGTTTTTCTTGAAGAGGTGTTAGGATTACCTCCTCCGAGAGAAGTGGAATTCTCCATAGATCTGGTGTCTGGAGCAGGACCAATATCTATAACGCCATACCGAATGGCTCCAGCAGAGTTGGCCGAGCTCAAGAAGCAGAGTGAAGAGTTAATGGACAAGCAATTCATTCGTCCAAGTGCATCATCGTGAGGTGCTCCAGTGCTACTTGTTAAGAAGAAGGATGACAGCTCTCGGCTTTGTGTTGATTATAGACAATTGAACAGGCTGACAATCAAAAGTAAGTACCCCTTGCCAAGAATTGATGATTTGTTCGATCAACTGCATGGGGCTACTGTATTTTCTAAGATTGATTTAAGATCAGGATATCATCAGATTTTGGTTAAGGAAGGAGAAGTCCAAAAGATTGCATTCAGGTCTCGGTATGATCACTATGAGTACGTAGTAATGTCGTTCAGTGTCACTAATGCTCCAGCCATATTCATGGGCTATATGAATCGCATTTTTAGACCTTTCCTGGACAAGTTTGTGGTTTTTTTATTGACGATATCCTCATTTATTCCAAGAGCCATGAAGAGCATGAAGAGCAATTGAGAATAGTTCTCGGTGTGCTAAGAGAAAAGCAGTTATATGCGAACCTATCCAAGTGCAAATTATGGATGGAAGAAGTACAGTTTTTAGGGCATGTAATATTGGTTGGAGGCAACTCGGTGGATCTGACTAAAGGGCAAGTTGTACTGGAATGGAAGGTTCCCCATTCGGTCACCGAGGTTAGAAGTTTTGTGGGATTGGCGGGATACTACAGGTGGTTCATTGAAGGTTTCTCTAAGATAGTAACCCCGTTAACTCAACTGACCAGAAAAGATCACCCTTTTGTATGAACCAATCGATGTGAGTCTAGTTTCCAAGAGCTCAAGCAGAAATTGACGAGTGCTCTAGTGTTGGTTATTCTTGACACTGGAAAACCTTTTGAAGTATTTTGTGATGCCTCACACCAAGGATTGGCCTGTGTACTTATGCAAGAGAGATAGGCAATTGCTTATGCTTCTCGACAGTTGAAGACTCATGCGAAGAATTACCCTACGCATGACCTAGAGTACGCAACTCTAGTGTTTGCATTAAAGATTTGGAGGCATTACTTGTATGGAGCTCAGTTTCAAGTTTTCAGTGATCACAAGAGTCTCAAGTATCTCTTTGATCAGAAAGAATTGAATATGAGGTAAAGAAGGTGGCTAGAGTTCTTGAAAGAGTTTTTAGTTTGAATTGCTTTATCATCCAAGGAAGGCTAATGTAGTGGCTGACGCATTGAGCAGAAAAGCGGTTCATGTCTCGGCAATGATGATCAGAGAGCTAAGCCTGGTGGAGAACTTTAGAGATTTAAGACTGCAGTTTAAGTTAGAACCGAGCGGTATAAAGTGTTGCAGTCTTAGATTATCAAGTGACTTGTTTGACCGAATCAAGGAGAAGCAGTCGGCTGATGTGGATCTGCAAATGATCTTAAGCTGGACTGGTTCAGAGAAAGGAAAGGATTTCAATACCGGGACTGATGGTCTCTTACCATTCAGAGGTAGGACGTGTGTTCCTAATGATGGAGAGATGAGAAGGCTAATTCTTGAGGAAGGGCACAAAAGTCGTTTTAGCATGCATCCAGCCATGACTAAGATGTACCAAGATCTCAAGAAGTCATTGTGGTGGCCAGGTATGAAGAGTGATGTCGCTCGATTTGCGTCCTCTTGTTTAACCTGTCAGAAGGCAAAGACAAAAAATTAAAGACCGGGCGGTCTACTACAACAATTGAAGATTCTCGAAATGAAGTGGGATAACATCTCTATGGACTTTGTTACCCACTTACCCCGTACGGTCAAGAACCATGATGCAATCTGGGTTATAGTGGATCGATTGACAAAGAGTGCACACTTTCTTGCAATCAATCTAAAGATGTTTATGGCAAAGCTGGCTCAACTCTACATCAAGGAGATCGTTCGATTGCATGGAGTGGCGTCTAACATCATCTCAGACCGAGACCCCAGATTTACCTCTCGGTTCTGGAAATTACTTCAGCAGAAATTGGGCAGTCGGTTGCAAATGAGCTCAGCCTATCATCCCCAAACGGACGGCCAGTCTGAAAGAACCATTCAGACACTTGAGACTTGTTGCGAATGTGCATCTTAGATCACTTGGGAGTTTGGGATGAAGTATTGTCGTTAGTTGAATTCACCTACAACAACAACTTTCAGTCCAGCATTGGAATGTCGCCCTTTGAAGCTCTTTATGGAAGAAAGTGTATAACACCACTTTGTTGGTTTCAAGAGGGAGAAGTGGTGTTAACTGGACCAGAAGTCATTCAGCAGACGACCGAGAAGGTGAAATTAATTCAAGAAAGGTTTAAAGCGTCTTAAAGTAGGTAGAACTCTTATGCCGATAAGAGGAGAAGACCTCCAGAGTTCGCTGTAGGAGATCATGTCTTTCTTAGACTAAATCCAACTACTGGCGTAGGCAGAGTCGTTCGGCTTAAGAAACTGCCTCCCAAGTTTATTGGTCCTTACCAAATTCTAAGGCGCATACGACCAGTTACTTATGAGATAGCCTTGCCTCCTCAACTAGCCAACTTCCATCCAGTTTTCCATGTCTCACAACTCAGAAAGTATATAACTGATCCTTCTCATGTGCTGGAAGCAGAAGACATTCAGATCAAAGAACATTGTTCAGTTGAGATGAAGCCTGTCAGCATAGAAGGAAGCCAAACCAAATAAATCAGGGGCAAAACCATCAGTTTGGTTAAAGTAGTTTGGGAAAAGAGGACAAGTGACTTTACATGGGAGTTGGAAGATGTCATGAGGGAGTTGCATCCTCACCTGTTTTATGGTAAGTTTTAATTTTCAAGGACAAAAATTTTTGTAGCTCGGGGGAATGTCAGAACCCATTAAAAACCCAAAGTAGTGGAAGCCAGGTGTCCATAAAAGGGTTCAGATTTTTAGAAAGTGGAAGACAGGTGGCTGCAGGAGAGTGGACCGATCAGTTTTAGCAAGATGTATATAAGTCGAAATTTGGTCCCAGTTTCTACATGCACCCTTCTTCTCCAAACTAGTGAAACCCATTTTCTCCTCCTTCTCTCTAGATTTCCTCAACCTTCTCTCTAAGAATTCTCATCTTTTTCTTCTTCTGATCACTAATCAGGCACCGTTTGAACTCTCCAGGCGTCAAGGGCCTTCATTTAAACTGATCAAGTTGTGGTTTAAACGGGTGAGTACTTCTCTTCTTAGATCGTTCTCAATGTTCGGTTATTTAATGTTTCTGACTTTTGGATTAAACTGATGGTTCTTCTTTCTCTGTTAATTAGAGAAAAGATGGATCCTAGACCTTTTCGTCCTATATCTGCCGATCAAAATCCATCTGACAACACCAGGTTGTTGGAATCAGTGATAGAGGCTCTACAACAACAGAACGCTGCCTTAGTCCAACAAAATACAATGGCGTTACAAAGTTTGGAGGCTGCTAGAGCAAATTCAGAGGCAACACAAAGGCAACTCATGGAAATAATATCCACGAATAGGAATACAGCTGCACCGTCCTCTTCCACTCCTAATCATCAAACCGAATGGAGCTTAGAGAGCTTTCTCCAACATCACCCAGCAAAGTTTAATGGAAAGTTTCTTCCTGATGAAGCTGATCAATGGTTGCATGATATGGAGAGGATCTACAATGCTAAGAGGTGTCCAGAAGACAATAGATTGGCGTTTACTGAATATCTCTTGACTAGAGAGACCAGTCATTGGTAGAATAGTATGAGGTTGATATTAGAAGACAACAATACTCTCATCTCTTGGGAAGTTTTCAAGAACAAGTTTTATGAAGAGTATTTTCCTAATAGCGTTCGGTACACTAAAAAGGTGGAATTCCTTCAGCTGATTCAAGGAGGAATGTCTGTATTCGAGTATACAGATAAGTTCAAGCACTTAGTGAGGTTTAATACTATGGCTACAAGTGAAGAGTGGTAGTGTCAGAAGTTCAAAAATTGGTTGAGAAGTGACCTTAAACAACTGATCTCAGATCTGTGTATCAAGTCTTTTCCTACATTGGTGGAGAGGGCCAAGGTGTTAGAGAAGAATGTGTTTGAGGTAGAACAACAAAAGAAGCAACAACAGAAGACTGTTAGAGGACCGATCTCTTCTAGAAACAGTATGGGTTTGAGGAAGACTCCTTATACTTGGCCTTCATCTTGTAATAACTTGTGGGTTTCATCTTCTCAGCTATCAAGACCGGTTGGTCCGTCTAGACAACAAGGGTCAGTGGTTTGTTTTATATGTGAAGGACCCAATTACAAGTCTCCATGCCCTCAGTTGAGCAACTCCAAGTTTTGTGTTCGGTGCAACAAGAATGGGCATTGGGAGAAAGAATGCAACTTGGGAAGAAGAGCAGTGATGAGGTCGCCGAATGTTGGGAGGTTTCAATATAGGGGTGGTGGCCGAGCACAAGCGGTCGGTCGAGTATATGCTATAACAGGGGCTGAAGCACCAAGCTCAGGTAAACTCATCACCAGCTCTTGCCTGTTATATGGATTGCCATGTTGTGTGTTGTTTGACTCATGGGCAACACATTCCTTTATCTCAAAGGCATGTGTTGAGAAGTTGGGGTTGTCGGTGAGTGATATGTAGTTTGATCTGGTGGTGTCAACCCCAACAGCTCGTGAGTTTAGGACTTCTACTGTATGTATTAGATGTCCGATTGAGGTGGAAGGGCGTATATTCAAAGTAAATCTTATATGCTTACCTCTACAAGGCTTAAAGGTAATTTTAGGAATGGATTGGTTAGCTGCCAATCACATTCTCATAGATTGCGGCGAGAAGAAGGTAATATTTCCTAGTGAAGAAGAAGAATTGTCCTTGACAGTAGGCCAGTTAAGGATAGATATAATGGAGGGTGTCAGCTGTTTTCTGGTAATGTCGCACGTAGACGTAGTACCAAAGGAGTTGCAATATGATCGTTCGGTCAATGGAAAGCAGAATGGAGACCGATCGGTTGTGAACAAATTTATGGATGTTTTTCCTAAAGAGGTGCCAAGATTACCCCCTCAAAGAGAAGTGGAATTCTCTATTGACCTAGTGTCCGGAGCTGGGCAGTCTCTATTGCACCATACCAAATGGCTCCAGCAAAGCTAGTTGAGCTCAAAAAGCAAATTGAAGATTTAATGGACAAGCAGTTCATTCGGCCAAGTGTGTCACCATGGGGTGCTCTTGTGTTATTGGTCAAGAAGAAGGATGACAGTTCTTGGCTTTGTGTGGATTATAGGCAGTTGAATAAGTTGACTATCAAAACCAAGTACCCTTTGCCTAGGATTGATGATTTATTGGATCAATTTCATGGGGCTACTGTGTTTTCAAAGATAGATCTCAGATTAGGATATCATCAAATATTGGTTAAGGAAGGAGATGTTCAGAAGACTGCATTCAGGTCTAGATATGGCCACTACGAGTATGTAGTAATGTCGTTCGGTGTTACCAATGCTTCAGCCATATTCATGGACTATATGTATCGCATTTTTAGACCCTTCCTGGATAAGTTTGTAGTGGTTTTCATTGATGATATTCTCATTTATTCCAAGAGCCGTGAGGAACATGAGGAGCATTTGAGGATAGTGCTTGGGGTGTTAAGAGGAAAGAAGTTATATGCCAAGTTATCCAAGTGTGAATTTTGGATGGAGTAAGTACAGTTTTTGGGGCACGTTATATGAGCAGGTGGTATCTTGGTGGATCCAGCAAAGGTGCAAGCCGTACTGGAATGGAAGAGTCCTCGTTCGGTCACTGAGGTTAGAAGCTTTGTGGGATTGGCGGGCTACTATAGGCAGTTCATTGAAGGTTTCTCTAAGATAGTAGCACCATTAACTCAGTTGACCAGAAAAAATCACCCTTTCGCGTGGATCGATCGGTGTGAAGAGAGATTTCAAGAGCTCAAGAAGAAATTGACAAGTGCTCCAGTCTTGATTATTCCTGACACAATCAAACTGTTTGAGGTTTACTGTGACGCCTCTCACCAAGGTTTGGATTGTGTGCTTATGCAAGAGCGAAGAGTGATGGCGTATGCTTCCCGGTAGTTAAAGGTTCATAAGAAGAACTACCCTACTCATGACCTTGAATTGGCCGTTGTAATTTTTGCATTCAAGATTCGAAGGCACTACTTATATGGAGCTCAGTTTCAAGTGTTCAGTGACCACAAGAGTTTGAAGTATTTATTTGAGCAGAAAGAATTGAACATGAGGCAAAGAAGGTGGATGGAATTTCTGAAAGATTATGAGTTTGAGTTATTGTATCATCTAGGAAAGGCTAATGTAGTGGCTGACGCGTTGAGCAGAAAAGCGGTTCATTTCTTGGTTATGATGATCAGAGAGCTAAGTTTGGTTGAAAGCTTTAGAGATTTAAGGCTGCAGTTTAGGCTGGAACCGATAGTATAAAGTTTTATAGTCTCAAGTTATCAAGAGATTTATTGGACTAAATAAAAGTGAAGAAGTTGGCTGACGTTGACCTACAGAAGATGAAGGGATTGATTGGTTCATATAAAGGAAACAACTTCAGTATAGGAACGAATGGTCTCCTAAGGTTTAGGAACAGAGTTTGTGTACCCAATGATGAAGAGCTGAAGAGGTTGATCCTTGAGGAAGGACATCAAAGCCGTTTTAGCATGCATCCAGGCATGACTAAGATGTATCAAGATCTCAAGGAATATTTTTGGTGGTTAGGAATGAAGAATGATGTGGCCCGGTTTGCTGCAGCAGTTAGAAATTCCGGAGTGGAAGTGGGACAGTATCGCTATGAATTTTGTGACCCACTTGCCTGGTACGGTTAGGAACCATGACTCAATTTGGGTTATAATGGATCGGTTGACAAAGAGTGCTCACTTTATTGCAGTCAACTTGAAGATGTCTATGACAATTTTGGCTCAACTCTACATCAAGGAGATCGTTCGGTTGCATAGAGTGCCATCTAGCATCATCTTTGACAGGGATACAAGGTTTACCTCTCGGTTTTGGCAGTCCCTGCAGAGTGTATTGGGTAGTAAATTACAAATGAGTTCAGCTTATCACCCTCAAACAGATGGACAGTCTGAAAGGACGATTCAAACACTTGAAGATCTGTTGAGAACGTGCATATTGGATAATCTAGGAGTTTGGGATGATGTACTGCCACTGGTTGAATTCACCTATAACAACAATTTTCAGTCCAGCATTGGAATGACACCTTTTGAAGGTCTTTATGGAAGAAAATGCAGAACTCCACTTTGTTGGTTTCAAGAGCAGAAGTGGTGTTAACTGGACCTAAAGTGATTCAACAAACTACAGAAAAGGTGAAGTTAATCCAAGAGAGGTTGAAGGAGTCCTTGAGTAGGCAAAAGTCATATGCAGATAAAAGAAGAAGACCTTTGGAGTTTGCTGCTGGAGATCATGTCTTCCTTCGGCTCAACCTACTATCGGGGTAGGAAGAGCCGTTCAGTCTAAGAAGCTATCTCCTAAGTTCATTGGTCCATACCAAATCTTAAAGCGTATAGGACCAGTTGCCTACGAGATGGCTTTACCACCTCAACTATCCAACCTTCATCTAGTCTTCCATGTATCTCAACTCAAAAAGTATATAGCAGATCCTTCTCATGTGCTGGAAGTAGAAGATTTTTAGCTCAAAGAAGACCGTTCGGTTGAGATGAAGCCTGTCAGCATAGAAGGAAGCCAAACCAAACAACTCAAGAGCAAAACCATCAGTTTAGTTAAAGTGGTCTGGGACAAGAAGATAGTTCACTTTACGTGGGAACTGGAAGATGTCATGAGGGAGTTATATCCTCATCTATTCTCTGGTAAGTTCAAATTTTCGAGGACGAAAATTTTTGTAGTTAGGGGAAATGTCAGAACCCTTAAAAACCCTGTGTGAGTGGAAGCCAAGTGTTAGTGAAAGTGGAAGACAAGTGTGAGCAGTTGAGTGGCCGATCGGTTTTGACAGTAGTTTACAAGTTAAAGTTTTCAAAATTCGTGCCATTTTTCTGCATGCATCATTCTCTCCCAAATATTCTGAGTTCTTCATTTCTCCTACTTCTCTGTACAATCTTCTTCTTCTCTCTACAAAATCTTACCCTTTTCTTCTTCCAATCTTCAATCAGACAATGTCTGAGTCTTCTTGGTGCCAAGAGCTTCACTTTCACCGATCTAGTTGCTGGTTTGAGCTAGTACATTCATTCCTCTCTTAGCACTATTGTTTTCTATCACATGCAAACCGAGTTTCTGGTTGCATGAGTTTGCCATCTCATTCTGAGCACACTTCTGGTCTTTTGTTTGGTTTAGTTTCATAAATCGTGACCGTAGGAATGTAAGATTTCTGGTGGTGGATTATCTTATACAAATTGTGAGCGTTCGACTAAGCTTAAGAGGTAAGAGGAGCTTATATAATTTGATTATGATTCTTGTTCTGAATGATTGTATATTGGTTTGATTATTTGATGAATATGAAGTATTGGTGCACCTGTATGTTGTTTATATGAGTGGATGATTTATAACTGAGGTACACTAGGTTGAGATAGAGTTTGATCATCGATCTGCAGCTTTCTGTATAATCTTGTGTTTGACACCGAGAGTCAGTATTAACTGTTCGATTTTCCTTTGAGTGTTCGGTCTAAACTAAATTCTTCTTCTGTAGAGAATTTAGTTAATGACCGATCGATTTTATATTATTATATATGTAAATGAGTGTTCGGTCTACGTATAATCTCTCCTTTGCACTTCTTAAATCAGCTTCGTTAAGATATTCAATAATACCTAAATTCTTAAATATGATATTTATCCTTGTTGAAAATAAGTCATATGTAATTATAATGAGAATATATATTCTTTCATTGAATAAGCTCTATAGTGCTCGGTCATAGATCAGGTGCTCGGTCTCATTAGTGTTCGGCATCAAACAAAGTGTTCGGTCTAGTTGGTAGTGTTTGATTTAAACTCTTAGGTTTCAAATAACAAACTTTCATCATCTTCCATTATGTTTAATTATATGTGTTATATAGTATTTCACAGTTTCCTTGAATTCTATCTAGTAAAGACCTTTCGGTCAAAGTTGTTGTGTATCCCGTAGTCTTTCCTTACTATTATTATAAGTGTTAGACTTATAGTTAGTCTTCTCTCGTATGGACCTTTCGGTCCTATTCTGTGGATAACTGAAAGATCGCTCGGTCTTACACTAAACGTTCGGTTATAATAATCTAAACAATATTCTCTTGTTCGGTTTTTCTTCTAAGATGAGATATTCTTTTTTGGAATTGGTATGACTATGTTGATGATTAATCATGATGAATGAGGAATGTAATGTGAAGTATGATGACTTTAAAGTATGATGTAATTTGAATGGTATGGATATGAAAGAGTATTCCAGGGAGGAATATCTCAGGATTTGTTATGGAATGGTAAAGTATGAATGTGGTCATGCTAAGGTGGCGTTTATCCTGATATTCTATGATTACTCATTCTCAAGTAGAGAGGAGTAAATCATGTGTGAGAATGGCAGGAGGTCCTAGTCCATAAGGTTAAGATGGGCGATGTAAGAACGGACTAACCTCGGGTGGCAGCTGTTGAGACATCCCAGCTACTACATCACTCGGATGCAAAAACGTCGTAGCTACACAGAATTCATACAATTCGGATAGTCAGAGTCAATTGGTCGTTCATTGCATGCATTAATGTATGATTGGTGGATTGATATGAATTATATGTTGTATTGAATTAATTAAATTATAGAAGCTTACCTTATTTCTTGTCTTGTCTGATTTGTCCTTCTTGTTGTCGTTTTCTGTTAGCAGAAGGAGAGGAGTTGTTGGAAAAGGCTCTTGAAGAAGTGGAGGTTAAGGCCAAACCATAGAAACGTTCGGTAGTTATAGTTACTTCGTTTTGTATATCCATTCGGTTTAAGATGGTTTTGTTGAAACTGTTTGGTCAAGTATTTAACTTTGTAAAGTTTAATTTTTGTGATATTTTTGTAAGGCCGTTCGACCATAAGCGTACCCTTCTTTTCTAAACTAAACTGTAATATTGTTAATATGTGAGTATTCTATGATATGATTTTATACTATATTTTTGGAATGTTACAATATTCATTACTATGATTATAAAAAAAGTAAAAAAAAAGTACTTCTC